GTGCCACTCTTTCAAGGCCAGTCGGGGCTGCTCGTTGGGCCACCCTTTTAGAGAAGTGGTTCTCAAACTTGAATAATCTATTGATTTCTTTTAAAGTATATTAAAAAATTATGACCTCCAGTGTTATTTTTATTATAGTGTTAATGTAAATATTAAAAACATAAAACCACATAAAACTCCTTAAATTCTTGTGCCAATATAAAAAAGAAGCTTTGACAAATTAGGTAAAACTTAGTAACATAAATTTTATAGTGTTATTCAAATAAAGGACATAAATTTAATACAATGAATAGAAATGTCTAAAACTAAATTTGACATACTATGTTTAGCAATAAAAGATATAACCTCCAACTTCTATATTTAATTAGTTTCTGAATTTTATTCCCATAAAAATGATTTAAAGAATACCTTTTTTGTAAGTATGTTGTGCAAACTATTCTTAATAACTTTAAGACGTCAGTTCCTACTTCAGGCTAATAAAACTTAAAGCTATCAGATAATAGCTTTAAGAAAATATAATCTTTGAAAGCTCTCTTTATTTGCTTGGACAGGAAATTTCTATTGGGATAGAGTTGTATACTCAAACCAATAAAAGCTAAAATTGAAAACTGAAAAAATGTTTCACTGTGGATTTTCTGTTACACTCACTGCTAATGATCAGTGCAATTTGAACCATACGAAGACAGCATCTGAGCACATGTTAATATGCTGACTGCTGCTGCTCAGGCACTTTTGGCTCATCATGTTCTGCCATGTATGATAAGCAGATTCTCTGATGATTCTTGTCTTTCTACTACAGCAAAACATTCTGTCTATATGCATCTGTATATCATTTGGACTTTACTTGTTATGCACTGAGTTATAAACACAAAGGCATATACTGAAATTATGTGGTTATACTCACTTATAGGGTAGCCATGTAGAGGACCTGGAATATGCTATTATTTTCTTTATTAGGTTATTATTGAAACGTAAACAGAGAATTAAAAACTTAAAAAACTTGTGGCAAGCTCATGGACCCCTATGGGTACACCCCTAGAGCCTTTGGGACAGCACTCTTTTGGAATATAATGTGGCTCTATGAACGCACATTCCTTCCTGCCTTTCAAGTCCACACTGCTGGGTGCTAAGAAAGTTGTTCTGTTTTTCTAACATTCAGATACAAGACAACATACAGAACTGTGTCAAGAAGAATTTAAAGGGAAATTTTTCTTTCTCGGCCTGAGATGTCACTCCAGGGTTACAAAGGGGGCAAGTTTTAATGACATCCATCTGTTGCAGATTAAAATAGGTGGGGCTCAGCATTGGAATTCCTTGTCCAGAGTTTGACTATGGGCATAAGCACAATTGGTTTTAGGATCTGCGTGTCATAGGGACACAAAGCAGCAAGGCAGAGAGAGAATAGTCTTATATTCGTCCGACATTCTCCCAAAGGAGCTGCTTTTGCCTCATTTTCTCTTTATTATGCTTTTATGTGTGAAATCTACTGGTTGAGCAAAGAAAACAATCTATTTTAAAAGCATGCTTTTCCTCCTACTTATCCTTGATTTGAAAAATCTTGCTTTTATCGTAATCAGTGGGAAACACAGCATGGCAAACACATTGCTGTATCTCTCTCTATGAATGTTTGAATCCTCTTTCATCTCTGTATTGATTGAAGATAACCAGGATAACCACTGTTTATCCAAAGCGCTTGTGTCAAAAGCTTTAATCACAGATTGACCTCATTGTAGGGTATGATGTGCCTGTGTTTGTATGGAACGGGGAGAAGTATATTTCTATGCAAGTATATACATTTGAACTTCAATAATGTCAACATTCACACATAAATTTTAAAACCCCGTTTTATTTCTGTCCATGAAATTCACATTCTTGGACTATTTTATAATAGTATTTCCATGTAATGCATTTTCTCACTGTGGGGGAAACTAAATCCCTTACAGGGTTCTAGAAGAATTCAACTTATACGAAGGTCGATGACTCAACTGCTGAAGTGGTTCTTGGCAGGATGGCTCAGATATTACGTTTCCATTGGACCCAGCCCCTTCAGAACACTGAAAGCATTGTTTTCTAAAATTCTAAAGATTTTCTGTAACTTTGACATGCATCCACTTTTTAAAAGTCTGATTCAGAAAAGAGAAAACCAGTTACGAACACTTTTTGTTACTCTATAACATCAAAAGCAATCCTCAATGTCATGCCCAATCCCCAGAGAAGGTTCAAAGGCCGTCTATGACATAGTCCTCAGCAATACCTGAGGCCCCACGAGACCATCATCAGCTGCTCCAGGCTTCTGCAGTGCTTTTTCTAGGTGTCTCTTCATCCCTTTCAGGTTAGGGTCTTCCTCTGGCTCCACCTGTTCACAGCATTCTTTTTTATAGGAACAGTAAAGCAACTTGATCTTTTGCTGAGTTTAATCATGTTAGGCATTTAGAGGGAGACAGACAATTGGCTTCTTAATGCAAAGCATCCTTTATCACCTGTTTGTTTTCTCATTCTCAGATGAATGTGCTTCTGAGTAGTTTGTCTCAGTTTGGCTCTTAATTTTTCTAGGTGCATGTAGATGGGTGATAGCTATGAGGGTAGGGAGGGTAGTCAAGAATTTCTTCTCCAGTTGAGGCACTTTATTTAGCAAGTGCCATGATTAACAGAGTAAATCTGTAGAACAAAGTTATAACTGTGGCTAACACAGAGGAAACAAACCTATAGCTCACAGGCCAGAAATCTGTAGTAATATCCATTGTGATATTTTAAGGTGTTGGATAGGATAGCAGATAAAACTTACAGCTCTAAACTGATAAACATAAATTAAATTTTAGGTCTTCTACTAAATAAATGCGTGTAAATATGTGACTTTGGAAATTTCTAAATATCTTTCCTCATCTATTAAATGGGCATAAGAATAGTTTTTTTCTCATAGTATTATTGTATTTGTGATACAATACATGTGACTCCTTTAGCTCTGTTCCTGACCCACAGTAAACACTCAGTAAATGCTACCTATAAGCATTTCCTTGATGTACAAATTGGAAGCACTTTCTAGGAACAGCCTCTAATATAATATATAGCACATGGATTTGTTTTGGAAAAACTTTATAACAGGAATAATATGTTCATATTTTATATCTGTAACCTAATAATATTTAATTTCTGTTGTTTTATAGTAAAATTAATATTTCTTGTGAGATGTTAACATAATACATAGTATTATAATTCACTTTTAAGTGCTGTGACAACAAACCTGAAGGTAGGAAATCTTGGAATTTAGCATTTGCTGCAAACAGCAAAATAAATTTCACAGAATAGTCATTTAAATATGAGTCACAGTTCAGTTGCTACAGCACTGCAGATATTCTTGGGGCACTCTGCCATCGGCACAGGCTTCAGAAAGGATGAAGAGTGAAGAACAGTGTGATATTAATCATACAATGAAGCATTTCTAAAGAATCAGGGCATGAATTCCGGTTGTGTAGATTTCAGTCACACCTTTCAACTCTTAATAAATAATCTATCTCATTTATAAACATATAAGCCACTTGGTATTTGGGTTAAAAGTGAGGTAATTTAGTTCTGTAGTTTTCAGTCTTCCCATGTGTAAATCATTTTAACAGTTTGCAAGTAATTCCATATTTGAAACTCCCAGAGAAATACTTCCATTTCTATCTCCGTACAACACCACGGATCATAATAAATAGCTGATAGAGTGTGCCAAGAGGTTCCTGCCAAGTACATTCTTTGAGGGAGGGAGGCAGTGTAGCCTAGTGAGGAGAATGTTTGATTGAGTCATCAAACCTTCATCTCACTTCGGTCAAGAGATCGAGACCATCCTGGTCAACACGGTGAAACCCCGTCTCTACTAAAAATACAAAAAATTAGCTGGGCATGGTGGCGCGTGCTTGTAATCCCAGCTACTCAGGAGGCTGAGGCAGGAGAATTGCCTGAACCCAGGAGGCGGAGGTTGCGGTGAGCCGAGATCGCGCCATTGCACTCCAGCCTGGGCAACAAGAGTGAAACTCCGTCTCAAATTATGTCTCTTTTTATGCTACCATTTTCCATTTTCTCTTTAGTCAGATATTATATCACAAGAAAAATTATAAGTTATGCAGGTGTCTTGGGACCTAGCAAAAGTTTGTCATCATTATTATGTTAAGATTTAAAAGTCAGACTTCATAACCAAGCCAGAGGGATAGCATGATTACAACTGTGCATCTGGAGCAACTCTCTTTAGGACTTTTCATGGGCAGAATTCAGCTGATTCTCCCAGCAACTGATTTTAAGAAGAGTGAGGGAAGATGAGAAACTTAAAAAGCAGTCTCCCCATCCACAGTGACTATCTTTACCGAAAGATTTTAGTCTGGTATTATGTCAGCTGGTTCAAATTTAATCATGTTTTCCCAAAATCACTGGGATCACAAAATTTGCATCAGCCCAGTCCACACCTGCCAAGTAGTGTTATCCTCTTTCTTCAAAGCACCCTGGGAGCTTTCTGTTATTCACTTATAATGAGACCAGATGACTGGCAAGTGACCCATACTCAGTGTCCTCCCTCAGAAGCATCTGAAAACCAACAGGAAAGAAAGAGAAAGAAAAAACAGTAGCTTTAATTTCTTTAGCTTTCTGATTCTTTTTTGACTTGACACTAAGCTCAGTATAAAGTTGTTAGAATCTTGAAGCTAAAATGAATAATAGCAGTATTTGAGGCTAGTATCAATACATCTTCAAATGTGGCTGAAGATTTTGAATAAAGTAGTAACAATTATTCCCATTTTAATGGTTCTTTTATACTCTAAAATACTGACTTTTAATGTACTTAACTCTAGAAATATTGTGAAGTTGCTACCTTACACAGTGAATGATTATTCAATGTTTTACACTCAGTATTATTGAAATTTTTCCAACTAAAGCTTTTCTGACTTCAGTGTAAACATCCTTGTCTTTCTGTATTCGATACATTTTTATTTCATTCATAGTTCACTAAAAGTCTTTTCTTTTTCTCACAGTCTGACAGCAATGCAAGCTTTCTCCGTGCTGCCAGAGCAGGCAACCTGGACAAAGTTGTGGAATATCTGAAGGGGGGCATAGACATCAATACCTGCAATCAGGTAAGAAAGTGGCAGCTGGCTGTGTGTTGTACAGTGAAGAAACACTCATTACATTCTCAGAGCCAAAAATTATTTGTGTCTTTATTAAAAATACTATAATATCAGTGACTCAGACTCCTGAAGCCCTATTTTTGTTCCCTTACCAACTTATTTAGAGCTAATGTTGCTGAAAAAGTAGATAGATCAATTTTGTTTATGAAATGATCTGGGCCACCTTTAGTTGGAATTTTGACCAAAAATGATGTTTTACTTCTCATTTATCATCTAGTAATCCAGATCTTGGCTTCTTTCCTTCTCTACTATATGCACTTTACTCATGGGAAACTAATTACAATTCAGTTTAGAGAAATAAGAGGATAAAATTTTCTCCTTATTAATTTTAAAATATGGCTTATAATGTTAGCAATTTGAATATTATTTTAATTATCTATTCATAGTGTTCATTTAATAAGGATTTTAGAGAATATTATATACTTTGGATATTATTTGGTATCAATGTTGACACATTTGTGCTATTTTTGACTAAGATTTTTACATCATGAATTAAAGTGTCTAGTGGACTGCAGTATTCACTTTAACGCTAAATGTTGTGTTGTGTGTGTTGTGTGTGTGTTTGACAGAGACCTAACTAGTGAATAATTCTGGCTAATTTTAAGTTAAAAGGAGGTAAATGTCATTACTGGATTCTAAATTATATGTTAATTCTTTTTTCTACATCCTGGTATATATTGAACCCGGTTGTGTTTAACTTATAGGCCACTAAAATTAGTAAATCTTTCAAAAACAGCTCTTCAAAAACTGAACCTGGTTTCTTATCCTCAAACTTACTGTACTTCCAAATTCCCACCTGCTGATTTCCTCAGCAATGTGCCGTTCCAACCCACCTGTTTCCCATTCCTCATCTTTCCCCCTCTCCAGCCATCACTTCTCTCTTTGTTCACTTTCTGCATCCGGATTACATGAGCTCGGATCACCTTGTAGTACTTAACAGAGTTGTCATAACAGCCTTCTTATTAGGTTCTGTCTTCAGTCTTGTCCACTCTGGTCAATTCTCCACACAATGCCTTGAGTGATAAATAAAATAAAAAATAAGATTACAACACTTACTTCCTCCCCAAACTTTCCATGGCTACCAATGCCCAGATCAGTGAGGTGGTTGTATCAAAATCATCTGCAGGCTTTTGCAGAGGGTACAGGATTTCCCTCCTTCCACTTCAGTCACTGGCATAGAGAGCATTGTCACTGATGTCAATATTTCTTATATTTTAGGGGAGGGTGTCTCTTATCATGAAAACATGTTGAGAGCTACTTGATGTTGGGAAAGGCATTCTGCTGTGGCCCTGAGAAGTCCTGCAGATACTTTTGGGAATAACAAGAATGAAAGACTTTAGGATTGCTTTTGATCTGGGCCATTTCTCAGGATGGTGCTTGCAGTGGGCAACCTTGAGGGGTTAGGCAATATCTCCCTCTAGATACAAAGCAGGCCTCTGTGAATCTCCCAGGGTCAGTGTGCGCCTTTAATACAAGGCACATGTAAAGGCATCTGTTGTTGTTTCTTTGTGTCAACCCTGTTAGACGTTGGGGCAAGAAGGGGATAGGGAACTTGTGTAAGCAACAGGCTGACACTTGGCCACTGCTTTTGCAGCGAATTACAATATCCTTTGTTTCTGACCCAGAAGACTTATGTCTTCTTCCAGCATCATGAAACAGTAACTGTTTATCTTTTAACTTTTAAGTAAGATAAAATCCCAAGAACTTTACACAGTTCTTAACACTGACTTGTGGAACAAAGCCAAATTACTGTGTCTCAATATGCAAAGCCTTCATATGCTACATCTGCATTCCTCCATCTTATTTTTCATTATCAATTTATCTGATATGGGTTTTTTGTGTTCTTCTGGTAAAATAATTTGAACTTTAGATACATTAGTTACCTTAAGAAAGAAAAAGCATTCAAATTTTCATATGGATATATGGACTTATTCTATAAAATGCCTATGAAGTTGAATATGAAATATTTAATAATTTTGGGGTAAACTCAGGTTTCTTTAAGTAGTTTAAATGCACTCTCCAAATATCAATGTATTAACTTTCTAAATTTGCTATATGTTAGAGAATAAGCAATGAAACTATTAGTTCATTTAGGTAAACTTATCATAAATAATGCCAAAAGAGAGAACCCAAGGAAAATAAAGCTCATTTCAAACCAAGTCTACTTCACACTGAAGTATAACAAATATATTAATTGTATGAAAGGTCTTAGGGTTATTTTAAGAAAGAATAATCTCTGAATAGTAAATACTCAGTTCTCATCAAACTTATAGACCAACCTAACTTCTTGAGTTAGCTTTTTCTTATAGTGGCCAGCCATCCACTAACATGTCACTATAAAAGGCAAGAACATTTATTTCTGTGAGAAGGCAACATGATGTCACAAAGCCCATACAAAATTTAGAGCCCACAGGTTGAAATTCAAGTTTTACCTCTACTTTTAAGAAGTCATTTCACTTCAGAAGGTGACACTTTTCTAACTTGTAAAACAGGATAAAAGCAATACATTCGATGCTTATATCCCTGGGGTTGCAATATAAGTTAAATTATTAAATATAAAAGGACTTTCTAAGGTATATGTGTTCTAATTACATTTACTGTATATAATTCACCAAGATTTACACAAATTAAAATTGACTTATACCCAAAATATAAGGTTGATCCTCCTCAATTCCCTGAACTCACCAGGTATAAAGTAAAGGCCAGGCCAGGTGTGGTGGCTCACACCTATAATCCCAGCACTTCGGGTTTATAGTAGGAGGCTGAGGCAGGAGGATTTCTTGAGTCCAGGAGTTCCAGGCTGCAGTGAGCTATGATCGTGCCACTGTACTTCAGCCTGGGTTGGTGACAGAATAAGACCCTGACTCTTAAAAAATAAATAAATAAAACAGGCCAGGCGTGGTGGCTCACACCTGTAGTCCCGACACTTTGGGAGGCCGAGGGGGGTGAATTGCCTGAGGTCAGGAGTTCGAGACCAGTCTGGCTAACATAGTGAAACCCCGTCTCCACTAAAAATACAAAGAATTAGCCAGGCGTGGCGACATGCATCTGTAATCCCAGCTACTTGTGAGGCTGAGGCGGGGGAATTACTTGAACCAGGGATGTAGAAGTTGCAGTGAGACAAGATCATGCCATTGCACTCCAGCCTGGGCAGCAGAGCGAGACTCCATCTCTAAACAAACAAACAAACAAACAAACAAAATCCTCAAAGTAAATGTGGTCTGATACTGGTTCTGTATTTTTATTAACACTACTTAAGACAGTATATTAATTAAAGATTAGGGAAATAAAGTGACTAATGTTATCTACTTAGCTACTGTGTATTCAGACTTTGTGCTGGGGCTTTACATGTGATGATTATCAATCAACAGAGATGAAATATTGTGAGATAGGAATCAGCTCAAGTTTACAAATGTAGAAACTGGGCCCACAATGGTTAAGTGACATTCCCAGGGCCACATGCATCTCTGTCTCCCATGTCTAAGCTTTTTCCTGCTGCAGGATATCTTTTTGAGTAGCTATTTGGAGCTGCCCTTCAAAGTAATACAGTGGTGGTCCTTTATCTTAAACATCAAAACTTATTTTTAATCTGCTACTGCTAATATAAAAGAACTTTATTCATAGGTAGTCACAGGATCTTTTAAGTCAAAGAGCACCACCACCAGGATTACTACTAAAACTCAAATAAAATATAGAACAGGAAATGATTTCCAAATACCCAGGAAAGTAAAAGAGGTAACTATTCAGCCAAACTATTGCTATTTCTAAATATGTAATATTCAAAGCTAATATAGCATATGAAAGAAGAAAAGAAAATGTATCCTCTATTTTGCTGCTAAGACTGAGTTTCTAGGGAGCATTACGACATGTAATATAGAAACCAGGACTTTCTGTACTCTGTTGTATTTCTCAATGAAAGGCAATCTGGGCTGCACCAGCTTTCCAAAAATACCACGTGTTGGCGTGCTAAGATTCCTTAAACCGAAATTTGAATCAATGTTTTTTCTTTATAATATTGTTCTCACAACTACCATGAGAAGTTTAAAATGTGATTCCCAAATACTATTTTGCTTTTAATTATTTAAATGATATGGAAAAAATTCATAAAATCGGCACAAGAAAACACTCTTAAAAGAATGTCAAGTTTTCATTATTCTTTTTGGAATGATTACAAATAGGGTTGTTAACTTCTATTTTCTTTAAAAGATTAAACTAGTCATCTATTTACCATATTATTTTCTTGTACATTCAGAAGAGGGAATAAATCTTAGCATTCAGTTTATTTAAGAAACTTATAAAAACTTGTTCTTACCTATTACCTAGCATAATTTAATGCTGTTACAAACAAGATAAACATGCAGAGATTAAAAATCGAGTGTATAATATATTAATAAAAGATTATAGCCAGTTATAAGCCAATGAAAACCCCAGATACTTTTACCATGTATACAATTTACTGGTTTCACTGTAGTGACTTCAAAATGAAAGACTATTACATAGCATTTATTTAATATAATCCTAGATATGACACCAGTGATTAACAGGTTTTAAAATGCCCTGATTTTTGGTTTTGATCCTTTACTACCAGAGTGTAAAGGTGCAAAATTATCAGTTAAATCCTGTGTTTCCTTTTTCACAAGCAGAAGGCAAGGTTGAAGCACCATTTCAAAACAATATTAATGTTCCTCAAATAGCAGAACTTTAACAACAAGAAGATACACCCAACAATGACTTTAGCATATGCTCACACAGTATGACTCAGACCATGAAGCCTATTTGGAAGTCGCATTAACAATGTGGATGCTGGAAACCAAATTCTAGTTTTCCCCACTTACCAGCTGGGCAATCAACTTCTGCAGGCCTGAGTTTTCTCAGTTGCAGTAACCATAAGAGCACTGAAGTTTTAGGATTGTTTTGATGATTAAGTGAGATGTTTGCAAAATGCTTGG